CCCCCCCCCCGTTTCATTCACCCAGGCAGCTGGGTGATTTTGGGCCACTCCCTCTCTCTCAGCCCAATCCTCCTCCCAGGATGGTTGTTGTGTAAAAAACAGGAGGGAGGAGCATTAAGTATGCTTGCCACCTTGAATGATCTATGACCCATAATAAAAGTGGAACCAAAAAAATCTATATTTTTTTACCTCAATTCTTTAAGCAGATCACTCCTATCGAAAAGATCTGATTATTTCTAATTGTTCTTGAAAATTTATGTACTTATTTAATAAATGTATATGCTCTCCTCAACTCATGTACATGACTCTAGGTGGCTGACAATTAAAACAGAATAAACCCACCACCAAAATATTAAATGGAACTGACATCAAATAACAGGCAGGAACCCTCAAGAACATCCCATAATCAATATAATCCAGGAATTAATTGGTTCACTCGCACTATATTCAGAGTCCCTGGCTTGATAGCAAGGCCAGGTTTTCAATGTCTTGTGAAAGTAGGATCAGGGCAAATCTGACTGGGGGGAGGAATTAATATTCCAAATTAATATTTCAACACACACAGAAACCCTCTTCTACAATAAACAGCCCGGCCAACTCTGGTCTCGTCTAATCTCCCCAGACAAGACCAAGGGACTGATTCTGGTATCCAAAGAATAACAGGATAGCAGAATTTGGAAGGGAGCTTGCAGGTCTTCTAGTCCAGCGGCCTCCAATCTTTTGGACACCAGGAACCGAGGTATGTGGAGAGAGGTATTTCCATGGACTAGAGAGGGCGTGGTTTTGGGTGCTGCCTGCCTTCTGCCGATGGGGCTTCGCTTGCTTGCATGGCTGGGTTTCTGGCATGTCATGGGTCTGTGCTGGTCCACGGACCGGAGATTGGGGACCCCTGTTCTAGTCCGAAAACTTGTCAAGCAGGAGATTCTATACCATTCTGGACAAATGGCTGTCCAGCCTCTTCTTAAAAACCTCCAGTGTTGAGATACCCGCAACTTCTGAAGGCAAGATGTCCCACTGGTTAATTGTTCCAACTGCCAGGAAGTTCTAGGTTGGGAGGGGTGACTTTTGCATTTGTCCTTACCCAGAAATCCCTGGCCTCTCACATTTCTCTCTCTCTCTCTCTCCCTCCCTCCCTTCCTCCCTCTCTCTCTCTCTCTCTTTCCCCTGGAACCTCCCCTTGACCCACAGCCCTCCAACTCCCTACCCCACAGCAAGCGACCTCCCTTCTGTACCCCTCTCTTCGCCAGACAATACAGCGTTTCGCTTCCAGGTTATCCTTGGATAGAAGTGGAAGAAGGACAGAGCTTTGGAAATCCTTATTAGAAAAGGGGGACTTTTTATCTGTTTTTCCAGCCACTTTCTGGGATGGCAAAGCATAAAAAAAGGGGGGAAAGGGGACGAAGAAAGATCTCTCTCATTCCTGCTCCCGTTGGTCTGATGTCATGGGGCAGAAATGTGTCTAGGGAGAAACCACAAAGGGAGAGGCAGGAATGCAATGCACTAGAAAGGAGCGTAAGACATGGAAAGGGGCGGGAGAGGAGGGAAAGAGACAGGATCAATCCACCATCCCCTCCCTTCTCCATAGCATGGATCCCTCACCCGGATGCCCCAGCCAGAGTATCCCATCGGAAGACCCTCACCAGATCAGCAACTTCATTCTCATTTTATTTCTCCTACCGTAATCCTGCTCAGCTTCCTCTAGGCCTAATTCCACCATTTGCACCTCCACAACAGCCCTGCAAGGAAGGCTAGGTTGGGAGCTAACCACCCATCAAGATTACAGGGTGGATTTCCGAGGCCACTTTGGGAGAATTTTGCAAACGACGATGACCCAGCTCAGGAATCACCACCACCACCCCAAATCTGCTTCCTGCTTGGTAGAAGAGGTATTTTAGCAAATCCTTGTGGAATCCATTTTAGAGAATGCAGAAACTAATATAGGATCTTTTTACAGAGGCTGGAATGAAGCTCTTATTCACAAGCATGCAGTGTGGAATGGGGCAAGCGAGCTCGCTGGCAACCAGAAAATCCTCCTTCCAGGCCTATTAAACGATGGTTTGATTTCCTGCACATAAGAAGATGCCCTGGGGTGTTTGTATCACCCGTGCTTCTTAATCTCAGCTACCTGAAGATCTGGGGAACCACCTGAAGATCTGTGGACCTCAACTCCCAGAACTGAAGCCTGAAGATCTGTGGACCTGAAGATGTATGGACCGCAACTCCACTTGAAGATCTGGGGAACCACCTGAAGATGTATGGACCTCGACTCTCAGAATTTTCCACCCAGCATGGCTGGCTAGAGAATTCTGGGAGTTGAAGTCCACACCAGAGGCCAAGTTTGATAAATACTAATTCAGGCCAACAGCCAAGAAGTCTGCATCTCGTCCTAGATAAAAAACCATGCCAATGACCAAAACCACTGGAAAACTGGGATGTTAGGAACAGAGGGGCAGGATGGGGGAAAGAAAACAGAACAAATGCGAGAAGTCCTCTTTTAGGGTTTGGCAACTGCTGCCTTGGGTGGCTTTACATTGAACAACTTTATATTGCACAACTTCCCCTAACTGGCTGGAGTGGATGGGCTTTGTAGTTGTTACTGCACAGGGTCAGGTGGGGTAAATTTAGCTTTCAGCTCCAGTGGCAGCTTCCAGATAAATTTGCAAGAGAAGCATCAAAGCACTTTTCGGAGTGATGGATCCAGGTCTTAATCCTCCCCCCCACCCGTTTTGCTGCTTTCTCCCAAGGCAAAATGAGAAGGGGGTGGGGGGGCTGATTTCTTTGGAAGTAGTTGTAGGGTGTAGAAGGTAGGAGAGGAGAATTAAGTCTGTAAAGCAAGCTCATCTAGCAGGCTGGTTCAGCAATTCCACAAAGCCACAGGAATACGCTGAGAAATAGCATTCCTTCCTTCTTGAGAAGGGAAGGGCTGAGGAAAGGCACCCTCTCCTTCTCCTCCCCCCCCCCCCCCCAGCTACAAGGATGAGAGGCCATGGTGAGTTGGCCGCAGCAAGTTGGCTGCAGCAAGCTGTCCCACTCCAGAAGGGTCTATGACAATTCACTACAGCCAACTCGCTGCAGGAGAATTCATTGCGGGGACGAGAATTACGCCAATATCAAAGAACGGTGGAATAGACTCATGAAAGAAAGGATGCAAAGGGAAGGACAGAATGAAATGTGAATGGCAAAAATGAAAATAATTTTTATTTATTTTAAATAATTAAATAGAACTGTTAAATTGTCCCGCAGCGAGTTATCCTGTGATGAGTTGGCCATGGCAAGTTCTCCCATTCTCGCTCCCCACCCTGAGAAAGGTAAAAGAATAGAAAATAGAGCTGGAAGGGACCTTGGAGGTCTTCTAGTCCAGCCCCCTGCTCAAGTAGGAGATCCTATATCATTTCAGACAAATGGCTGTCTAGTCTCTTCTTAAAAACTTCCAGTGATGGAGGGCCCACTGGTTAATTGATTACTTTCCAACCATTGTTTCTCTTCCTGCCCTCCGATGCTTTGGAGAATAATTTGACAGCCTCTTCTCTGTGGGTGCCCCTCAAATACTGGAATATTGCTATTATGTCACCCCTAATTCTTCTTTGGAGGTCACACTTAAGAACTTGCAATCGTGGAAGTTTGCAAAGCACGACAGCCCCTTCACACGTGATGGTCCCCTCATGAATGTCAGGCTTAATCCTCCAATTTGGAATTAAAACTAGGGACCCTACGCGCGCAAGACAAAAACCGAAGTTTGCGAAACGCGCGTCCCTCGCGGCAGTCGCATTCCCACGTTCTCGTGGGAAGAAGCCAGACAGTTTCCCATCCACCCATCCCCGCCCTTCCCTCGCAAGGGCAATCCCGGTGAAAAAAGGGAGGCGACCCTCACGCGAAGGAGTCTCGGAGGAAGGAGGGAAGGAAGGGGGCATTTTGCAAAGGGCGTGAGATAAAGCTGTTGGGGTGGGGGGAGTCGAGTGCCAATCTTTTTTTTTTTAAAAAAAGAGTAATAAAAAAAAAACGCGGCGGTCGCTGTGCGAGAGAGAGAAAAGAGTTTTTTGTTGGTTTTTTTAAAGTGGAATTGGAAAAAAATGATGTGCAGCGACGGAAGCGGCCTCTCAAACCCCCCCCCCCCATTACTCCGTTTGGAAATGAAAAGAAGGAAGAAAAAAGAGCGGAAAGAAAGTCCGGCCGAAGGAAGGAAATCGAGCAATAAACGAAGGCGGGAATGTTAAGAAGGAAGGAGAAAAAAAGAGGAGGAGAAGGAGAAGAAGAAGAAGAAATGACGATCGGGCAACGCAGAAGAAGGGAAGATCGGCCGGGACGCGGTGGAAGAATAAAGCAAGCCGAGAGGCGAAGGGGGAAGGCGGGGGGGAAGGGCGAGGGGAGACCCAAAGGACGCGGCGGCAGCGGCGGAGACAGAGGTGGCGGCGGGGGGGGGTGTCTCTTTCCCCTCCGGGCGATTCTTACCCAGATCGTCCATCACGGGCCGGCGCAGCTGGATCCGGACTCAGAGCCGGCAGTTGCAGGCTGGGCGGCCCCCGCCCCAGTGACGCGCCTTCCCGGAGCGCGGCTCCGCGTTGTTGCCGCGCCCGCCCGTCAGCCCGACTTGGCTGCCTTGCCGCCGCCGCTGCTTCAGTTGCGGGTGACCATTTATGGCAAAGGGGATTCGCGCTCGGGCAGGAAGGATGGACGCGCGCCCCCCCCCCCGACACACACACACACACACACCGCCGCAATCCGCCCCGACGCGGAGCTAGAAACACACACGTCGCGCGGGTGTTCGCGGCCTCGCGTCTACTCCGGGCAAGATGGTTAAATTAAGAGCGAGGGACCGTCGGACCATCCAAGTGAATTCCCCCCTCCCGCCTCTCCAGGCAGGACGCCCCGCTCCTAGTGACATTTTGGAGGCGTGGGGTGAGGGGTGGATTTTGAGTTGAGTCCCAAATGGGTTTTGAGTCCCAAATGGCGACTGGACTTTCTGGGTGGTTGTTTTTTTCCCCCCTTTGAGGACGTTTCGCTTCTCGTCCAAGAAGCTTCTTTTCTCTCGGAAGAGCTGAGGAAGCTTCTTGGATGAGAAGCGAAATGTCCTCAGAGAAAAACCAGAAAGTCCAGTTGCCTCTTGAAAAAAACCACCTTTGGGACACTCATCTCAAAATCCACCCCTCTCCCACCCCACACCCCCATTGCCCCACACCTCCAAAATTCACCAGGAGTGGGGCCTGGATGGATAGGATCCGGGTGACAGAACCAACATAGACATTTTGAGTTGAGGGTATCAGGATTTTGGGACCGTTCGGAAGAACTTCCCGGACGCCCCTCTGGGAAGAATTCTGTGATACGAAATGCATGTCAAGCAAAGAGGCCCATTCCCACGTGCTGCAGGGTGTTGAGAAGTGAGAACGTCCGGGAGTTTCCAAAAGAGACGGCTTTTTCGGCTTCCTTTTGCAAACTTCTAGACCCCTTGGGTGGAGGAAGAAGGAGGTCCTTGATGCTTAAGAGAAACTAGCACTGTGTGGCTATATTAACACAGAACAGTAGCCACAACAATGCCAGTGAGAGTTAAGGAAGAGGAGGATGTACAGGTAGCCCTCAACTTACAACAGTTCACTTAGTGACTGTTCGAAGTGGCACTACTGAAAAAGGTGACCTAAGATCATTTTTCACATTTACAGCCGTGGCAGCATCCCCGTGTCACGTGGTTGACATTTGGATGCTTGACAACTGACTCACAACTTATGATGGTTGCAGCCTCCCAGGTTACTAATTTAACAGCCGTGGTGATTCACTTAACAAATATGGCAAGGAACGTCGCAAAACAGGGCAAAACTCACTGAACAAATGTCTCACTTAGCAACATAAATTTTGGGCTTAATTGTGGTCATAAGCAGAGGACTACCTGTATTAAACGTGCATCCAATTCTAATTGAACAATGTTCTATATAAAATAAAGATTCCCAGCTCCTTAGATCACCTTAAATCAAGCTCCAGGTGTTCCGACATTTGCACAGGCATCTTTCTTTCCCACACTTTTTGAGGTTCACATCCAGATACCCCAGAGAGATGTTGGGCACCCATTAAGGCAAGTCCAATTTAAGCAGTTCCGTGATATCACATCTGTTTGCCTCCAGGTATTCCGGATGCCAAAAAAACAGAGAAAGAAGAGGTTTGCGGTTCTGGAGTTAAGGAGTGGTTTTGTGAACGATGATATTCCTGTCTGGGGAATCATGGGGAGAATTTAGTCACTGAATCATTGAAATGATTTGACTCAAGAGGACTTTTTTTGTGGGGGGGGGGGGGGCAAGATACAAAGAGGGGGCGGGAATCTGAACAAAAGTTGGAGAATGAGAGAGGAGAGAAAAAGTCATCAAATATGGATGCTAATGCAGTCCCGAGGCAGGACGTTTTGATGATCAACAGGAAAACATCCCTGAACACCTTCTCCTACTCTGTTGACTCTCCTCAAAATCCACTTTCTGAAAGCTGGTTATAGTCCACGAAGCCAGCTGGGTTTCACCTTAGGCCAGCCACTTCCTCTCAGCCCTAGGAAGGAGGCAATGAATGGCAAACCATTTCTGGAAAAAAACTTTGCCAAGCAAACTGCAGGACTTGTCCAAGAATCTTCAAGATAGTCGAGACACGATTGAACAGTAACACACGGGGGAGCGGGGGAGAGAGAGAAAGAGAGAATAAAAAGAAAAACTGAAAAACGGCAAATGTACAAAATGTTATCAGTGAGATCGAGTAGCAGTTAGCTGTGAGAGTCCTGAAGTAGAAAAGGGCCTATTCCAGGCCTCCTAAGCCAAATATACACAGCCTTTTCCTCCCTCAGGATGTGACTGTGTGTGCTTGTGTACTCAGAGTTTGCAGGACACAGCTGTAGACCCTAATCTCTAGTTACTAAGACCAAGTAGAGGTTTCACAACAACTTTTCTGTTGCAGCTCTGGTATGTACCAGATGTGATGGGACTTAAGTCTTCTGACATCTGGAAGATGTCTAGATGGAAAAGTTAAGGTACATTCTCCTATTTGAGTACAATTCATAGACAGGATGGTCTGTGGAGTGTACAGGTAATCCTTGATTTACAGCCATTCGTTTAGTGACGGTACAAAATTACAACGGCACTGAAAAAAGCTACTTATGTCTGGTTCTCCCACTTAACAACCCGGACAGTACCTTCATGGTCACATGATCAAAATTAGGGCACTTGGCAACCAGCATTTATCTACTATGATGATTGCAGGGTCCTGGAATCATGTAGTCACCATTTGGGACTTTCCAGCCAGCTTCTCATGAGCAAAGTCAATAGGGGAAACCAGATTCGCTTAATGACCATGGAAAAAAGGCAGCAAAATCGGGCATGGCTTAGCAACAAAATTGGAACAACTTAGCAACAAAATATCTGGTGCCAATTGTGGTCCTAAGTTAAAAAAAAAAAAAGGTTTAATCCGAATGGATTCTCCAAATCTTGTTATTCTGTATTTTTCTTTTTTTCTTTCTTTTTTGCAAAAACTGTTAAGCAAATCAGAGGATCATTAAATAAATCCGGTTTCCCTGGCTGGGAAGGTTGCAAATGGCAATCATTGATCCTAGGATGCTCCAACCACCATTAGTACATACCAGTTGCCCCAAAATCTGAATTTTATTCAGGTGACCATGCGGACAACTGCAAAAGTGCACGGGCCATTTGTCACATTTTCCAGTGCCATTGTACCTTCAGTCACTAAAAGGTCATAAGTTGAGGACTACCTACATCATGTTAACAACTTCCCTAAGTCTTCATGCACTGGTTTGTTTGTTTGTTTTTGAACCTCAACAACTTTAAGAAGTGTGGATTTTAACTCCTAGAATTTCCTAACCGGTATGCCGGCTGGGAAATTGTGGGATGGAAGTCCACACATCTGAAAAATTGGGAAACGCTGTTCTAGGGAATAAGAACTAATCCAGAGGGAACATTTTATAAAGGCTTTGACGAGATCACATAAAACACGACATTTTGGCTATAGCAAGGGCTTATGCAAGACGTAAGAGCTGAATGCGATCTCGGTGTGGACTAGCAGAATTACAAAAGCAGAGACGTGCACCCATCCCAATTTTGGGCAAAGGACACAGGTTCAGGGACAAAGAAGTTATATGACTTGGTTTGCTTCAGTGCCAAAATGACAGCTCTGTGAGAAATCAGCTGGCAGCGCTGGTGGGATGACTCCTGTGGCTTTCCATAACACAAAGCCCGAGAGATACGAAAGAGGATAATTTTCTCAATTGGGTTGAAGCTGCAGCAGAAGCAAGGGAAAAAGTAGCTAATGTAAGAATATATGCTCTCATTATCTCAGTGGGGGAAAAAAACTGCATATCTTGGCTGCTGCCGGATGTGCCCACGAATAGCAAAAAAAAAAAAAGGAACGGAATAACCAGATGACAGTACACCCTCCCAAAAAAAAAGGGGGGGGGGGCAAAATTTGGACCCCTTTTCCCGCCCCATTCCAGACAAATGTGGCCTATAGAAACCAAGACTCTTAGGAAGTGGTTTCTCTCTCTCCCTTCTCCGGGTGCTGGAGACCATCTGGATGCAGTTAGAAACAGGCGTTTCCTGTTCTCAGCATGGGAAGGCGGAGAAGGGGAGGGCGGGAGCAGGGCCAGGAGGCCTCACAATTCAATTCAAAGGGACGTAACTGGCATTAAGAGGGCAGGCAAACTCCATCCAGCTCTCTCGGCTTACTCAGCAGATCGGAGACCAGGGTATCCCAGAGGACTTCGTGCCGAAAGTCAGCAGCACGATATCCAGCCCACAGGAAAGAGAGTAATTGAATACATTCTTGATGGATTTGCACAACGGAGTCTCTCGACCGGTTTTCAATTCTGATTTCGGCAGGCTATCCACGGGGCATGAGTCTCCACTGGGAATCGTGAAGAGCTGCCCCAGTCTTTCTTAGGTGCTGTTGAGGAAATAAGGGCAAATTACACAGCCGTTCTGAGTGTTTTGTGGCTCTCTGTATTTCTCTATGTACAACAGTTGATAATACATTTATCGTTCCAACTGCACGATCTTTTTATATCAAGTTCTCGGGACAACTGCTTCCTTGCCTCGTCTGGAAGGAGATGACATCTCCACCTCTGCCAAGTTCCTTCAGGTGCCTGGGGACATCAAGGGGGCTCCTGCTGACTCAGTTTCCTTCTGCTACAGTCACCCGCTTTTGATGGAGAAGAAACGCCTCCAATTCCGAGGCTGGGGTTCGTTTCTGAATTAACTAGCACCAGGACTGGGTCGCCCCATAGGCTACATAGTCAAAGCTGACCCTTTTCACAGCTGGGCCCTGGCCAAAGGGAGACTCCTCTTTTGAGTTTCGACCAATCAAAAAGCAGGAGTCCCTTTCGGACAGGGAGGATTCTCAAAGCTCCTGAACAGGAGTTCTATGGCTTCTACCCGCGTCGGTTAGTCCAGCGCAGCGTTTCTCAACCTCTGTGACTTTAAGAAGGGTGATGCACTTCAACTCCCAGAATTCCCCAGCCAGAATTCCGGGAGCCTAAGTCCCCCCCCCCTCCTATTATTTAAGTCAGAGAGATTAAGAAACACGGTTGTAGCAGCTGGCAGGGCAGCAAATCTTATTTCTGAAACCAGGCCCCTCTCTTTCTGCCCCCAACCTCACCCCCAAATAATCCAACAGTGCTTCGTCCCACACCTTCCTCCCTGCTAGGCTTAAGTCCTGGCCACTACAGAACCATCCGCTGACCCAGATCCCCCTTTTCGAAGCACCCTGCCATTTATTCGCTTAACGCTCCAACCGCTCCCTCCCTTGCCCGATCCACAACAGCACCAGCTGTAAGAACTGGGGGGGGGGGGGGAGACAGAAGGACCCATGGGTCAGCTTAGCTGGCCCTCCGAGCCACTGCCCCACGGGGATTCCAACACCACTCCCAGCAGCTTGGCAGCTAAACCGCCGGGATCTGCAGCAGATCGCAGCAGCTCTGCCAGGGCAGCAGCTCGGTGGGTGGAGGTCGACCCCTCCCGGAAGAAAATGGATGCCACACAATTCCGAAGGAGACGGGGCCGGTTCTGCAGCTCGGCCAGCCGGTACACCTCCCCGAGAGTCCCAGGGCGGAGAGAGTCTTGGCACAAGGCCTCGTCCACCAAGGCCTGGAGGTCTGGGAGGAGATACTGTTCAGCAACCACCAAGATTTCTTCTGCTAAAGCGAGGGGGAACGGCGTTCCCAGCACCTGGCAGGGCCTGCCACGGCAGCCATGGAGGAAATGGGTCAGAGCCAGGAAAGGCTCTGGGGACACGCCGTGAAGCATCACGGTGGTGTGGGATGACTCTGCAAAGCCCCCACTCAGCATGGCCCGGAAGACCTCGGAAGCGTCGCTGATCACCTGCCGCACGGCCGGCACCCTGCAGCCAGAGTCCAACTGGAAGAACAAGTCGACCCCACCTTCCGCCACCATGTGGGAGTAAAGGCAAGGCTGTGAGGAGTCCAGGCGAGGCCGCTTCGAGGCAGGAGGCGAGAAAGAAGCGGGAGACGGAGCTGGGGAGCTCAGGAGGCGGGAAAGAACATCGGAGGTATAGAAGATTAAATGGGGGTCATGGTCCCGTGCCAGGACCCCTAGCAAGATCCGCAGGCCAGAGAGGCCCACCAGCAGCTTCCGACAAACAAAATCCTTCCTGCAGCAGGGAGAAAACAACGAAAAACATTGCTGACCGTAGCAACTCAATCTCATTTCTCTCCCCACTCCTACTCCTGACAATATTTCTCCCCAAATTTGGAGCAACCTCAGGTGGTACGCACCCTTCTCCCCTCATCTTCCAGTTCTGTGAGGTTGTACCTCCAGCATTTACTGGTTGCCTCTCACATCTCGGTCTCTTTCAAAAAAATCTCCCACCGTTTAAAGCGATCTCATCCATCAGAGGATAAGCAGCATGGATGTAGCTTCGAGATTCCAGAGTCACTAAGCCTCCCCCCTCCCAATGTTTAAACTTCTGGGGATCAATAGGAAAATCCGAGACAACCACATGCAAGGGCTGTATTTACATATTATTTCTGTTCTCAAAAAAACAGATTGCGTTCACACGAAACTCAACTGCAAAAAAAGACCACCCAGGTTAACAGGAAGACTTCGGATAAGTATCTGCTGGGATTTTAAGTGAGTCCTGTGAATGCAGCCTGTGTCTCATTCCAAAAGTTTGCTGCCAGTTTGACCGGCTACCCAAGGAATAAATGTTTTGCCCACAGGGTCCAGTTTGAGGCCTCTTCTGGTGCCCAACTCACCGGCAGATGAGGGGCAGCGCCAGCGCAGCAGCTGCCTGGTCCGATTCGCAGCCTGACAGTAGCATGTGAGTGAGGAGCCCCACGCCAAAGGGGGACTCTGCCTGCACGCAGAGGTTCATCAGTAGCGCCTCTCCTGTGGAGCGGGGGGGAAAGCAAGAGGGTTAGATGCAGCGTCGCCATCCAGAATGGTAAGCTGTACTGACTGGGGAGAACAGCAGCCAACAATCTGGGTAAATCAATATGTCCTACTAACTTGAAGGGTTCCCCCCCCCCAATTTCTCTCCCTGCTCCACTTTAAAGAGGCCTATTCCGCTGATCGCACGGGTAACCTCTCAACTGAAAAGCAGTAAGGGAAATAATGTTCCCCGTCTCACGCTGATGAACCCCAGACCTTCTCAGCTATAATGAGCCCCGGTGGCGCAGCGGTTAGAGTGCAGTACTGCAAGCTACTTCTGCTGACTCCTGCAATTTGGCAGTTCAAACCTCACCAGGCTCAAGATGGACTCAGCCTTCCGTCCTTCCGAGGTAGGTTAGTAAAATGAGGACCCAGATTGTTGGGGACAATAAGCTGACTCTGGTAAACCTCTTAGAGAGGGCTGTATAGGCATTGCTACTGCTATAGCTCTCACGATCACAGACAAGACCTCAATGAGAACTGCAGCTTAACATCTGGAACTGCTGCTTGTTGCCCATCCTGTCACCAAGACCCACTGAATGTTGGTTGATAGCACCACCTGTAATACTTAGGAGAGATCAGGAGTCCCAGCACTTCAGCCTAGACCAGGAGTCCCCATGCTGGCTTAAGGTTGTCAAGTTTGGAGACCCCCAAACTCTAACAGTGGCTGCCGCAGTATCAAAGTCCCAGTGAGGTGGGACATTAGGGCAAAAGCAGAGAAGACCCCCAGTGCGAGAGCCACTGATGTCAGGAGTTCTCGACTGACAAACATTCGTCTAATGTCCATTCAAAGTTACGACGGCACTGAAAAAAGTGACTTATGACCAGTTCTCACACTTACAACTGTTGCAGCATCCCCATAGGCACATGACCTGGCATCCATTTATGAGGGTTGCAGCATCCTGGAGTGCTTGGGATTGCCATTTGCAACTTTTCTAGGGAGCTTCTGACCAGCAAAGTCAATGTGGTAAGCCAGATTCACTTAACGACCACATGTTTCACTTAACAAGTGCAGTGATTCATTTAGCGAACATGGCAAAAAGGTAGTAAAATGAACACAAATTCACTTAACAATTGTCTTCCTTAGCAGGCAACTGTCTTCCTTCGCAATTGAACCGATATCGACTCCGGTATAGGTAATCCTCAGCTTACTACCACAATTGAATTAAAAATTTCTCTTGCCAAGGGAGACATTTGTTAAGCGAGTTTTGTCATGGTTTATGACCTTTCTTGCCACAGTTGTTAAGTGAATCACTGCAGTTGTTCAGTAAGTCACACGGTTAGTAAGTGAATCTTTCTTTCCCATCGCTTTGGCTTGTCAGAAGGTCGCTAAAGGGGATCACGGGACACTGAAACCGTCATAAATATGAGTCAGATGCCAAGTATCTGAATTTTGATCCTGTTTAACGACAGTGAGGCCGCAAGAGTCATAAGTGTGAAAAACAGTCATAAGCCACTTTTTTCAGTGCCGTCGCTGCAACTTTGAACATTTGCTAAATGAACTGTTGTTAAGTCGAGGACTACCTGTAAATAGAGACAAAACCCCATTACGGTATTCTGGGAAGCCTTCCCAACCTAGGAATGTAGCCTGAACCATCCAACACCTACACAGGAAGTCCTCAACTTACAATCATTCATTTAATGACTGTACCAAGTTATAATAGCACTGTGGGGGGAAATGGCTGATGACATTTATGACCCCTGCAGCATCCCCATGGTCACGTGATCAAAACTTGGCCACTTGGCAACTGGTTCATATTTATGATGGTTGCAGTGCCCCGGGGTGACTGGGTTCCCCTTTTGAGACCTTATGACAAACGAAGTCGAAGGGGAATCCAGATTTACTTGTCCACCGTGTCACTAACTTAAGAACTGCAGTGATTCACTCAACAACTGCGGCAAGAAATGTTGCAAAACGGTGCAAAAGTCACTCAACAACTGTCCTCGCTTAGCAACAGAAACGTTGGGCTCAACCGTGGTGGTTAAGTCAAGGACTCATTGTAATGCCAAGGAAGCATGTTGGCTAGGATGAAGGGAGCCATACATCCGTCACAGGTGGGGGAAGATTGTCCTAAACTACGGGGATAATGGCACACACACACACACACACACACACACACCAAGTTCCTTGAATCTCCTGGGATCACCCGAACCACTTGTCTCCTCTTCTCCGGCTTCCCCAGTGATGGCGGCAGCGGCTTGCTCAGGGGACACGCCCAGTATCAACCAAGACCTGATGAGGGAGGGGCCGTGGGAGCGCACGAAGGCTTCCAGGCAAGCCGGGTTGCAGGTGAGGCGATGCAGCAGCCGAAGGCAGCGGGACGAAGGGGAAGGGCTCCCGGTGACGTAACGCAAGAGTCCCTGCAGCGTGTCTGGCGTCACCAAACTCCGACTAGGATCCTCGGCTTGAGAGAAACGGGAAAGGAGCAGGAGGGCTGGCGCTTCGGGAGCGTGGAGGTCTGGGTCGCCCAGGTGGGGAGAGAAAGACAACGGCAGGGCCAAGGAGAGCCAGGGAGACGACGCCTCAGGGAGAGGGAACAAGCCCTGATATGGCGGTGTGCTTTGCTCCAAGGAGGAGCGGAGCTTGGCACGCCGTTTAGATGTCTTGTACTCCTCGGGAGAAGTTGGGAGAGCCTGAACATTCAGCTTCGGAGAGGCCAAGCACACTTCCTCTGTGGCTGGGGATTTGGCAACAGGAGCGCGTGACAGCTGGCTTCGGTCACTGTGGCTTGGAATCACGATCAACGGAATGGAGTTGGGCCCAGGGCTGTTTTGGCTGGCTACCAAGGTAACCCAAGGGGATTGTTCAGCTCGTCCACCAACGTTCTCTGAATTTGGCATTTCCTCTGGCGTGGAGGAACAAGGCAGCTCTAAAGCATCATCTCCAGATAGAACCTCCTCCTCTAAATTTGCCAGTTCTGACAAAGCCAGCTCTTTCGGTGTCTTATTGGCCCCGTCTGTTTCTTCCTCCTTACTCCCCTCTGAATGTGGGGCCTCCAAAGCAGGTTCTGGGTGGAGATTTTCAGATTCACCCGACAAAGGTAATGCTGTAGGACTGAGGTTGTGATCTGGAAGAATTCTGCCTTTCGTTGCTGAGTTTAAAGTCTTTGAAAGGCTGGGCTGCCCCCCAAGAGGCAAATCCAAGAAAGGAGAATGTATAAAATCGGGAGATTCAGCTCCAGAGTGGATCTTCATCCCAGACGTGCTGTGGCAAGGTCCTAGAGAATCATCTTGCAGTTCCTGGATGGGACTGATCTCTCCTTGGGCCTCCAATTCGGAAAGGGTGACATCAGGAGACCACTGGGGAGAAAGATCTCCCGGACTGGAAATATAACCTTCTGAGACAAGCCAGGATCTGCATTGGGGACAAAGAAGAGAGACACAGAAGAATAAGCTTTGAAATATATACATGGTGGAAGGTCTGGAGTGGGGAGAGGAGCATGTTTGGCTAAAATCACCGGTACCAAAATTCCGTACGGATTGTACGCTTGAACTCTCTCAACTGCAAATTTTTCAATTATCCAAGTTAGCAAGTCAGAAGATTCTCCTTCTGCAGAGCGATGCTGCCACAAGCCATCCATGCGTGGTGGAAAGGTGTGCCAAGCCATTCGGGGCACAAAGCCCACTGGTTTATAGTTGCGTCCTGACACTGGATTTTCACGTTATTACAATGCAGTGTATTCTCAATCTCTACAACTTTTGAGATATGCGGACTTCAACTCCCAGAAGTCCCCAGCCAGCCACTGGGACCAGAATTTCCATTGCTAAGCAAGGCGCTTGTTAAGTGAGTCATGCAACCTTCTTGCCACAGTTGTTAAGCAAATCATTGCAGCTGTTAAATGAATCATACAGTCGTTAAGCAAGTCTGGCTTCCTCCATTGACTTTGCTTGCCTGAAGGCAGCTGGGAAGGTTGCAGATATTCATCACATGACCCCAGGATGCTACAACGATTGTAAATACATGCAGGATGCCAGATGCTCCAAAATTTGCTCATGGGACCCCAGGGGCATTGTGAAAGTCGTAAGTGTGAGGGCCAGCTGTTGTAAGTCACTTTTTTCAGTGCCATTACAACTTTGAATGGTCACTAACTGAATTCATGTAAGTAAAGGACTAGCCCCTTCAAACTGAACTCGACTCCTCTAGAGCTTGTAGGGTTTTTTAAATTTCCAATTACTTGGAATAGGCCTGGTATTTCCTGCCAGTCTCCCATCCAAGTATCAACCAGGCCTGATTCTGCTTAGCTTCACATGGTCAACTAGGCATTTTCATCTGCTGAAGGGTTTTCGGGAGTAAATCAAATAGGAGGCCTCAAATTCGGAACAATTCAACTTCCCATTAAAAGAAAGACAAACAACTGGACCTGTTAACCAGGTGAACTTTACAGGAAGAATGCAGAAGTGACTCTGCAGAGCTGGCACTGATCAGAGTTGCCCAGCTCTGCTTATCTCTACTGCCTATCACTCCCTTATTTGGATATTTCTGTCTTTTTCAGTTTGCCAGGGCTATCCTAGAATTCCAATTTAGGAAATCTCAGAATCGGATATCAGAATAACAGAATAACAGAGTTGGAAGAGACCTTGTAGGTCAACTAGGCCGACCCCCCCCCCCCCAAAGCAGGAGACCCTTACACCATTTCTGACAGATGGCAGTCCAGTCTCTTCTTTCAGTGATGAAGCTCCTACAACAGTGGTTCCCAAAGTGGGCAATACCGCCCCCTGGGGGGCGGTGGGATGCCTTAGGGGGGCACTAAGAGGCAAGGGGGCCAGCAGGGGGCGCTAAGAGGCGGCAGGGGGGTGCTGGAGGTGGGCCCCTCACAGGGCACAATTCAGGGGTGAGAAAAAATCCCGCCGCTGCGTTCAAGGCGGGGCCCTGCAGGATCACCCCATTGACTTGCACACTCCGGTGCAAGGGGCTCAATGGGGTAAGCCTGCGGGGCCTCGCCCCGAATGCAGCATTGGGAAAGGAGAGCAAAGCCAGAGTGGCTTTGTTCTCCTTTACAAACATCCCGCCGCCGCTGCCGAGTTCAGGGCAAGGCCCCGCAGGATCACCCCATTGAGCCCCTTGCACCGGAGGGACCTGCCCAAGCAAATCCAAATGGAGCGGTGCATCAAGTCAATGGGGTGAGCCTGAAAGAGGGAAAGAAGAGAGAGAGAAAGAAAGAGAGAAGGAAGAAGTGAAAGAGAAAAGGGACAGAAAGAAAATGGGACAAAGAAAGGGGGGAATGGAAGGAAGGGACAGAAAGATAAAGAAATAAAGAGGGAGGGAGGGAAGGAGGAGAAATATGAGATATCTATTCTAGTCCAATCACCTGCTCCAGCAGGGTTAGAAGGGAGTGTGTGTGTGTGTGTGTGTGTGTGTTCTCCTTGTAATTTACCAGTACATTTTGGTTTTGCCTTCTTCAGAATTGGCACTGTAATACATTGGGGGAAAGTAATCTTTTAGGGTGGAGGTCTGATCCAATGGATCCTGTTTAAAGCCTCAACAAAATGTGAGAGCTTCCTAATAGTCTTGATCATGTTTTGTCCACAAAACTTTTAATTAATAGAAGCCAAAGATGTTTCAATGTGGAAAAGGGCCTCTAAACTAGGCCTCATTTCAATCTGATGCATCAGGTCTCTCTCTCTCACCCCCCCTCCATCCCCCCTCTTTCTTTGTCCCTTTTTCTTTCCCTTTTCTCTTTCTTTTCGTCCTTCTCTTTTTCTCTCTTTCTCTTCTCTCTCTTTCCCTCTCCCAGGCTCATTCCATTGATTTGGTGCACCGCTCCACATGGACTTGCTTGGGCAGGTCCCTCCAGTGCAGCGGGCTCAATGGGGTGGACCTGCAGGACCGGCACCTAGAATGCGGCAGAGGCGGGACTTTTGAAAAGTAGAGCAAAGCCAAAGGTCGAAAATTTTTGCTGCAAAGAATCACAAAAGCTTCTGGGCTGTGCACAAGAAGGGACACACGTCAATGAAGTTCAGCAACATAAAATAAAGAAATACAATTAAAACAAATCAACAAGAATCAGCAAAGCATCTCTGATTAGATTTTATTCACTACTAAAATCTAATCAGAGATGCTTTGCCAATTCTAGTCCAATGACCTGCTCCAGCAGGGCTAGAAGGGTGTGTGTGTGTGTGTGTGTGCACGCGTGTGTGTGTGTGCATGGCTGTCAAAACTCCAAAAACAGGTCAAGTAGTTCTGGGGAGGCCAGTCATAAATTAGAACACTTGCTAAGCAACCGGCCATTAAGTGAGGACCACTTGTATTTGGTTTGCCAGTCACCAAACCACGCCCACCCAGTCACATGACCAGCAAGCCATGCCCACCCAGTCATGTGACCAGCAAACCACACCCTCAAATTAGGCCACACCCACAGAAATTTGAATCCCGCCCCTGGGTGGGGGGCATTGAGGATGAGTTTGTAGCACCAAGGGGGCGGTGGACTGAAAAAGTTTGGGAACCACTGTCCTACAACTTCTGAAGGCAAACTGTTCCATTGATTGATTGCTCTCACGGCCGGAAAAAATTCTCTTTATGTCTAGGTTGAATCTCTCCTTGATCAGTCTCCACCCATTATTCCTTGTCTGGCCTTCAGGTGCTTTGGAAAACACCCCCTCCTCTCAGTGGCAGCCCTTCAAATATTGGAAGACCACTATCATGTCTCCCCTGGTCCTTCTCTTTACTAGACTAGCCATGCCCAGTTCCTGTAATTGTTCTTCATATGTTTTAGCCTCTAGTCCCCTAAACATCCTGGTTGCTCTTCTCTGTACTTTTTCTAGAGTCTCAACGTCTTCTTATAGTGTGGTGACCAAAACTGGATGCACTACTCTAGGTGTGGTCTTACTAAGGCTTTATAGAGTAGTATTAGTACCTCCCTTGATCTTGATTGTATCCCTCTGTTAATACAACTTAGGATTGCATTAGGATATGCAAGATAAACAACTGTTCTTTGTTTAGGCTAAAAACCTAAAGAATCGATGCAGAGTTTTCCTTTTTTTAAATTTTCTGCTCATGTTTGCTGCTTCTTCCCAAATGGGCTTTATAAGGCTTGGCAGCTTTTCATACTTAACCCCATCCACCTCTGAGTTATAAGCCTGCCTTTTCCTCTGCAATACCGGTTAAGAGAATTGGGGTACAGGTTGTTCTCGACTTACAAACTGTGTTTAGTGACCGTTGAAAGTTACAAAACGGCACTGAACGTTGCAGCATTATGACGGTTGTAATATCCCCGTGGTCATGTGGTCAAAATTCAAATGCTGGGCAACTGATTCATGCTTATGACAGATGGCAGTGGCCCCGGGGTCATGCGATCCCCTTTTGCCACCTTCTGTCAATGGGGAAGCCAGATTCACTGAATAACCCTGTTACTAACTTAATAACTGCAGTGATTCACTTAACAACATATATTTGGGCTCCGTTGTGGTTGTAAGTCGAGGACTACCTGCACAATGCTTCTTAATGGAACCCCAAGCTCAACCTGGCCAACTACTATGAGGCAGCAGACCCAGCACATCTGTTGAACGGTTCCTGCACCCAGGTGCCCTCCAGGCTCAAAGCAGATTTACCTGAGGCTCTGAAAGCTGGAACTCTCTGCTCCTGGCAAGGCCTGCTCTCCTCGCCGCCCCTCTGCAGGAAAGTCAAATGACGCCGCGTCTTTCTCATATTCTCGTTGTTCCTCCTCCTCCACCTGTTTCCGGCCCGCCCACTGGCTCTGGGCAGCCAGCCTGCCAACCAGCAAGGGCACCAGTCCTCCGGCCTGCAGCATCTCCAGGGCTTTCTCATCATAGAAAAAGGCCACGAAAGCCACCACCACCCGAGCATGCAAATAGCTGTGACATCGGTCCCGCAAGAGGGAGAGCAGTAACTCTAACCCTCCGGTCTCACGCACCCGGCTCCGATTAACCGCCTCACAGCACAGGAGGCACAAGGCTTTCACCAGGGGATGGAGTGAGGGCCCAGGTGCCCCGGTTCCTCTCCGGCGTTGGATCTCCCCCACTAGCAGCTCTACCCCCCCAGCGTTGCCGATAGCTGGCCTCAGCATGCCCTGCAGACAGAGGTTGGCCAGGACCGCGACAGCCGATTCCTGCACCACCTGTTTCTCGTGGCTGGCTAAGGCCACGAGGGGCGCTATCCCCCCTCCCAGGCTGAGCTGCTCCGCACAGTCATGGCTGCAGCCCTTTGACAGCTCCAGGAGGGTGCGCACCGCGGCTACAATCAGGGGCCCGTCCTCCAGGGAGGAAGCCAGGCGCTCCACGATGGGGCGGACTGCCCCCTGCTGAGTCAGCGCTAGACGATGAGCAGGAGTATCGGCCAGATAGCGAATGGCCCTGATCACGCTCTGCAAACATTCACTGTCCTGGGATCTGGTGAGGACCTGGATTAGCTGGGGCACGGCTCCTGTAAGGAAAAATATTTGGGAGGTGAGAAAATGGCAAGGAAGAGAAGTCCGGTCACAAGATCCTACAGTCTAAACATGAGTCAGTCCCACTTCCAGATGTCTCAAATGACAGGTAGTCCTCAACTTACAACAGTTCGTTTAGAGACCGTTCAAAGTTACAACGGCACTGAAAAAAGTGACTTATGTCGAGTTTTCACACTTATGACTGTGGTAGCATCCCCATGGTCACGTGATCAAAATTCAGTTGCTTGGCAACTGACTCATATTTATGAGGTTGCAGTGTCCGTGAGGTCATGTGATCCCCTTTGGTGCCCTTCTGGCAAAGTCCATGGGGAAGCCGGATTCACTGAACAACCATGTCACTAACTTAACATGCAGTGATTCACTTAACAAATGTGGCAAGAAAAGTCACAAAATGAGGCAAAGCTCATTTAACAAATGTTAGCAACATAAATTGTGGGCTCAATTATGATCGTAACTCGAGGACTACCTGCATTGCAAAGGATTTACTATGTTAAATGAATTCCACTGAGGAATTTTTATATATGTATGATGCCCTTCAGAGTTTGTCCCAAATATTATCAGAATATATAAATTGTAAAAAAAAATTACTATTTCAAGCCCTCAGAATAGCCAAGCATATTAGACATGCTAAAGATACACAACAGAATTGATAATTATCTGCATATTTGTAAGGGGCAGCTCAGAATGGGGGAACACCCATTTGCCCGAGGGTGCCTGATACTGCTGAACAAAGAATCTTTATCCACCATGCCATATTGACTCCAAACAATTCATAGCTGTTAAAAAAAAAACCACCTACCTCTCTCTCCCTGTGTGTGTGTGTGTGTGTGTGTGTGTGTGTGTGTGTATGTTCATAATGGAGAAAGGGACGAGGAGAAAGTCCAACTAACAATGTTGGAAAATAAACTTGAAGTGCCCTTTAATGGTTAAAGGGCAAATGGGTGAGAAAGATAGCTATACCTCCTAGGTCACAGATACTCACTAACCACAATCGGCAATGTCACTAAGTGGCACAGTTATTAAGTGTGACATTGTGTGACTATATCAACTTACATCAATTTCAGCCGCAGTCATTAAGGAAATCACCTGCAACGCTTAAACACAACGTCAGGCAACTCCAATTTAACAACTTCCTGCTGGTTTCCCCATTGTCTTTGCTTGTCGGAAGCCAGCCATGAAGGTTGCAAAAGGTGATCACATGACTGTGGGACGCTGCAACCGTTGTAAATATTGACCAGTTGTCAAAACACCCAAATTGCAATTGTGTGACCTCAAGGGCTACGGCCACAACTTTGAGGAGTGGTCACAAATCTCCTTTTTCAGCATTGTTGTAACTTCAAACATCATTGAATGGTTGGTAAACAAGCACTTGTGTATAAATACATACACATACTACAAATCTCAAATCCACACTTAAACAGACCCTACCCTCTTCCCCACCCAGCCCCTGTTCAACCTGCTTCATGGATGGCCTGGCAATTTTCTGAGTCTATAGCCAAGTTGCCGAGTGCCCGTGCTGTCCGATTCAGGATACTTTCCACAGCAAGTGACTTCAGGATAATAACTAGAAACAGAGAAAACGGGAAAGGTTGCAATTTGATAATGGGGTGGAGGGGAGTCTTGAATCATTTAGCCTTTGAATCACTTTCTGCTAGGAGGCAGGTATCTCAAGGATAGGCAATACTTGCCAACTAGTGCCAATCCAATCCAACTATGTATTATGGAATATCAGCTTCAAGAAACCACTTTGGTGTCATGGCCAGATTAAAAACTGGGAGATTGTGAGTTCTAGTCTTTCCTTAGGCAAAGAAGTCAGCTGGGTGACTTCTGGCCAGTCCCTCTTTCTCAGCCGAACCCATCTCACAGGGTTGTTACTCATGGGGAAAATTGAAGAAATAGCATTATACATGCTAGCTTAAGCTGTAAAAAACAAAAGCAGGATATGCATCTAATTTAGAGATAAATACCAGCTTCCTACATTTTACATATTACACCAAGTGCTGTATGATGGTAGATATTTCTGAAAAGTTGCAAGTCTCTTCCATGCTCTTCTCATACATGCACTTAAGAAATATTTTCACTGCTAGGGCATGTGCTGGTATAAGCTCCAATTAAAAAAAAAACATCTATCAGCCAATTCTTGCAGGCATTTAGTTATCCAAACACAAAGTACTTAGCATAGCCTTATAACTTGGCATCAAAGACAGTCTGATAAAATCAAAAGGTAAATATTAATAGAACCTAAACTTGTTTTTGCTGGCTTGAAACCTTGTTTTTGCTAGCTTTCCATTTCCCCCGCCCTTCCCTTTTAAAGGACGAAGCTGCGGTATTCACAATATTAACAGGCAGATGGCGTGCTAAGTAAAGGAACTGCAGACCTAAGTTACAAACCTAGCCATAATTTAGCTGTTGTGTGTGTGTGTTTGTTTTTTAAAGGATCTAGACAAGCATTTTAGCCCATTCACAAATCTAACTTGAGATGCTCCCAGTTTTAGGGATGTTCTACGGTTAAGGTGAAACACAAAGCTCAGATTGGCATAGTTAAGATTGCAAGATACTATGTTTAAGAAATGAGAATTACTTCTAGCTGAAATCCTATCTAAAACTAAGAGGGGGGGGTTGTTAACCCGAGCATTATGCTTGCCCACTTCCAACATCCTGAAGTCCTTTTTAAGGTTATCATCCTTTTGAATCCAAAGGTTACCCACCATCTGATTTAAGGGGTCATAAAACTGATCCCCCTTCTCCTCCCCCCCCCCCACCCCATGAGCACCCTGATTTGAGGAGGAAGCCCCACCTACAGGAGGGGAGACTTGGGGGGAAGCAGCCGATCTTGATGGGCACAGGGCTTCCCCCTCCCCACCAAGGCTGCATCTTCTTCGCTCTGCATCTTCTTGGCAAGCCGAGATTCCCTTCCGAGCCCCTGCCGATGCCGCGGACTTCAACTCCCACAATTCCCGTTGCAGCTCGCCCATCAGCCTGGCTGGCTGGGAATCCTGGGAGTTGAAGTCCAAGACCTATCCAGGCATCAGGCTCGGACGGGAGACGTTAGAACAGCCCCAGGGGGCGACAGGGGGATCTTCCCTAGCCGTACCCCCCATTCTGCCCCCCCCACACACACACTTTTTCCACTCACCTAGCGGCGGGATCCCCCCAAGTTCGCGCACCTGGGTGCGGCTGCCCTCTTCGGTGCAGCAGTTGCCCAGGATGCTGAGGGCTAGATCCAAAGTGCGGCGCGGTCGCGGGGAGCTAGACAGGATCCCCAAAAGTGGCGCTAGTCCCCCATGGATCCTGAAGTGGGCAATCCCCCCCGTCTTCTTAATATGCTGGGTCCTGAGGGCCAACAAGGCCTTGCCCAGCCCCGGCTCGATCCCCCTCTGCAGCTGGGCCAGGCAACGATCTAGGGAGTCGGTGAAGGTAAAAGCTCCACCCCCCGAACCCCTTAAACCAGCATCCGCCATCTTGGGGAGAATCCCCTTCCTAAGGGCCGAGGGGGGAATAAATATCAAAGGACGGGGGGCCCGGGGCACGCCGGGAGTTGTAGTCCTTCCTCCCAAGACAAAAGGGACGGAGCTTAGCAAGGGACGGAGTGATGCATGACGGTAGCTGTAGTTTCTTCCTTGTCCTTTGTGATAAATAGCGTTAACAGGAAGGACTGCAACTTCCATAGGGCTGTGCGCCAGCAAATGGCAGGCTTGAACGTATGCAGCAAGGGATGACGCGATCTAACACAGTTCCCATTGAGAACGTGCACTTGCCAAAAATGGGAGGAGTGGAGTGGAGAAGTGCATTCTGGGAGTAGTAGTGCCAGTAGTAGTAGTAGCAGTAGTGGTAGGCTAGGATTTTTTTTTTAACAATGATTTTGTGTTTTGGAGCAAGACGATGCGTATCAGTTTTTGGGAATTTCAAGACTCAACCCCCCCCCCCCATGTTTTAATTATGTATTAATTTTATTAATAAAATTTAATTTTTAATTTCATTTTATAGTAAACATTTTGTTCTATATTAATATTTTAATGCTGTTTTGAAGCATAAGACATTTCGGTATTAGGCTTTGCGTTTAAATTGTAGTTAAATTATGCAGCATGCACAGTGAGGTTCAGAACACTGTAAGCAAACTTTTAAAAGGAATGCTATAAAAAGAAGAAAGATCTCCCTTCAAAAATGCTGGCTCAAATCAGCCAGCATTCCTCTCTATCTTCCATCCCAGATTATTCAATGACCAGGGGACTGATTTATGTTGGAACTAACACATTTGTATGGCATGAGATTGGGAAGAAGAAAAAATTGAATAAAATGAAGACAATAGGTCTTGCCATCAGAGGAGGCACCTCAGAAAATCACCAACAAGCAACCAAGTGCTTTGTTAGTACAACAGACTTACAATTTGACTTACAACAATTTTGACTGTTTGAAGTTACTTACAGCACTGAAAAAAGGTGATTTATGACCGTTTTCACAACTTTGATCCTTGTAGCATTCCCATAGTCAGATGATCAAAATTCAGACGCTTGACAACTGACTCATATTTATGACAGTTGCAGTGCCCCAGAGTCATGGGATCACCTTTTATGATGTGATCCCATTGACAAACAAAGTCAAGATTCATTTAACAACCTTGTTATTAACCTAACAACTTCAGTGATTCATTTAACAATTGTGACAAGGAAGGTTGTAAAATAAGTCAAAACTCATTTAACAAATGTCTCAGCAACAGAAATTTTTGGGCTCAATTGTAAGTCAAGGACTACCTGTATTGTTGATTTTTTTTCCCCAGGGGGTGTGAGAAGTTGAACACATTTTCTCCCTCAATTCTCAATATTTGCATTAGGTATTATGTCCCTTGATTGGAGAAGAAGGTGGGCTTTGCTTCATTTCCTGAGATTTCAGATCTTAGAGCAAGGCAGGGCAGAGGGAAGTCTAAAGAGACAGAGACAAAAAAGAAAGATCTTTGTGGTGCCATCTGGCACATAGGGGGGCATATGTAGGGGGCGTGCATAAGCACGCCAATTGTGCCTATCATCCCTATCCTATTGTTTTTTTATTTTTCTTATAAGTATCTATCTCATGTATTCAAAACTGTATTTATACTTATACCTGTATCTTGTAAGCGATAATTGCCAATGATCATATGTGTGCCCCATCTTCTTTACTTTGAGCAACCCAAAGAACTTTGTCAGGACAAAGATTCTTCTCTAGGGAACTCTACCGGTTTGACTTCTCTGAACTTCTATGCAGGGGTGGGATTCTACCAGTTCGTACCTATTCGCTAGAACCAGTTGTTAACATTCTAAGCAGTTCGGAGAACCGGTTGTTAGAAGAAATTACTGGCCTAATTCTGTAAGGAAGGCAGGAAGGAAACATTCTGGTGTTGCTTAGAGAAACTGCCTCTCCGTTAACCCTTATTACATTCTTGGCAGGACTAGACTTCCTGTCTCAGGAACGTCTCTGGAGTTTTTCCCCCCTCCTTTGCTGCTACTTTGCTTGTGTGGAGTGACCATTCAAAGTTACAATGGCACTGAAAAAAGTGACTTATGACCATTTTTCACACTTATGACTGTTGCAGCATCCCCACAATCATGAGAGGCCAGGCGAGGAGATGCGTGCCTCGATGTGAGTGATATTGAGCTGGCCACGCCCAGCCAATAACATGACACCAAGCTATGTCCACCCAGTCACATGACCACTAAGCCATGCCCACCACCGTTAAGCCATGCCCACATAACCGGTTGTGAAAAATTTGAATCCCAATTTCAAAAATTTGAAATCTGTACGGCAATCTTCAAAGGTTGATTCCTCTCCAGCTGGCATTTGCCAACGAGATAAGCAGCTTATGCTGCCTTGCAGAACAGCCTTGATATCAGCTGAATGAACTGCATGGGCTTGGCTCTGCTGAAGTCAGAACTGTGGCATTTGCCACAAGGGGAAGACGGCGTTTCTGTGCAGCACCTGTGTTGAGCAGGACAGATAGAATGTCACCAAAATGCCTATTTTAGTGCAGCTAGAGCAGGGGTATCAAACTCAAGGCCCGCGGGCCAGTCCCGGCTTGCCCGGTACTTAAATCTGGCCAATGGAGCTGGCCTGGAAATAGCAAAGGAGCCTCCCATGGTGCCTCTGGAAGCTGAAAAGGGGCGCGGGGACCCTCGTGCGCTCCCCACACCGTTTTCAGCCTGGACGGCCTTCTGCAGCACTCTGCAGGCCAAAATGGGATGTGTGGGGTGCATGAGGCCCCCCATGCCCCCATTTTGACTGGCAGGATACTGCAGGAGGCTGTCCAGGCCAAAAACAAGCGCAGGGGGGCTGTGCGAGGCCCCCCTCAGTGACCTGTTTTGGCTGGCAGGATGGTGCAGGTGTCGGTCCAGTCTCCCCACCCCGGCCGGCCTTTGGAGGAGAACTACAATGCTGACCCGGCCCTCAAAGAAATCCAGTTTGACATCCCTGAGCTACAGCTAAAACTGATGTTCATTGCTTTTAAAAAAATGAAACTGTTATGAACTAACAAAAACCATTTAATAAAACTTATTAACCTCATGATAAGCAGGCTTGAAATCCTGCACTTTGGATTGGCCCTTGGATAGCGAACTGGGATTGGTCCTCACGGAGCAACCTGATTGGCTATTAGTTTAACATCTCTCATTGGGCAAAAGTTAAGCATTTAGACACAGGTCATTGGTTAACAGGTCAGTAGCTAGCTCTATAAAAGGGCTACTGTTTCACAAGGGTTTTCGCTCTGTTCCTGATCCTTAATAAAGAGTTGAAGTTCACTATTCTCTGACTCGTCTCAGTTACTTGCACCCATGCCCAGAATATAACACTGGCGACGAGGATGGGATACGGAGACGATAGAGCTGACTGAACACTAAAGAGCGCCAAACAGAGCACGTGGCTGAACACGCACCAACGACGGCAACATGGCCAGCGGTGCTATACCACCCGCTCCATTTGACCCGGCAAACGAAGACTGGGACTCATATATGGATCGGTTCCAGATGTTTCTGGAGACCAATAACTTAAAGGACGTGACAACCGGCAAGAAACGAGCAATATTCCTGACCCATTGCAGGCCAGCCGTATTTAAGATGGCGAAATCACTTGCAAAACCGGCTGAGGTGAAATCAATGGACTGGGACGCCCTCGCGCCACTCCTAAAGGCCCACTATGCACCCGCAGTGCCTACACTTGTACGAAGACACGAATTTTACCAGAGGGACCAACGGAAAAGTGAAAGTCTCGCAGACTACATCGCTGACCTCCGGAACTTGGGAGGCCTCTGTGGGTTCTCCAACCTCGAAGAAGCTTTGCGAGACCGCATAGTTCTGGGATTAGATGACCAGACGGTACAGAGCAAGATCATGGCCAAGGGGGACATCGATCTTGCTGATGCCATCGCAGATGCTACTGCAGCAGAAGCAACCAGGAAGTCGGCCGCTTGAATGCGCCGCATCAACGCACTGCTCCGTCAACTCGCGAATGACACCTCGCCTCGCCCCGAGAGGCACTCAACAACGGCGCACCATGAAGACCTGGAATCCCCATCAGAAAGTGATGAGGGATAGGTCAACCGACTCCGGTCCGAACGAGACCAACAAAACCAACGATTCCCGCGACAATGCGCGGGTTGTGGGGCAAACCACCCACAATCCGATTGCAAATTCCTCGATGCACTCTGCCGTTCCTGTGGAAAAAGAGGCCACATTGCAAAGGTCTGCAGAAGCAAGCGAGGGCCCAGTCCAAAGCGCAGGGAGAATAACTGCAGCCAGTCTTCGGGATTCGCGTCCGCGAATCGGAACCACCCGAACCACCAATGGAACAACCACTCCTACAGAAATAAAACACCTGCCTCTTCAATGCGACGGGAAGAGGCACACCAAACCATTACCATCAGCCACTCTACATCCTTAGATGCAAGAAAGATCCGAGTAAAGGTCGCCATCGAGAACCAACCTTGCGTGATGGAAGTCGACTCGGGGTCGTCCCTCTCAATGGTTTCCTGGAAAACCTTCAAGCAAATAATCCCGGCCATCCGTCGTCAGGACCTCAGCCCCCAAAAGATCATATTCAAGGATTACCAGGGCAACAGAATCCCGGTCGTCGGTTCCAGCCAAGTCCAAGTCTCCTTCAAGAATCATATTGCATCACTACCGCTGACCGTCGTCGACCGTGACCGGCCTAGCTTATTAGGCCTACAATGGTTCGCCCCACTCGGGATCGAGGTAGCCGGCGTCCACCGAGCTGAGAGCAACGACTGGGAGGAGTCTCTCGTCCAAGAATTCCAGGACGTTTTCTCAGATGAGCTAGGCAAGTACAAGGGGACCCCAATATCGTTTAACCTCAACCCTGAAGTAGCTCCCATCCGCCTTAAGCCTTGTCGGGTGCCTTTTGCACTAAAACCAAAGATCGACGAGCAACTCGATAAATTAATAGCCCAGGGCATTTTAGAACCAACCGACCACGCCCGTTGGGAAACCCCAATTGTAACACCCATTAAACCAGATGGATCGTTAAGAATTTGT